CCTTTCTGTTGTAACGGGTCCGATTCAAGGCATTCAACAAATCTCTACCTTGACTTGAATTCTCCAAACATATAATTCAGACGCACTACGATAGTGCCAGGCCTCCCCCTCTTCCTCAGAATTACCCCGTAGGGCAATTAACAGCTTCTGATGTTGAGCAAGTCCAAACAGTGTTGAAACTTGCTCTGTGGAACCGGCTTTGTGAACATATCAGCAGGATTATCAGCAATTCCTACTTTCTTCGCCTTGATTCTCTTCTCATTTCTCAGAAAATGATACCTTACGTCAATATGCTTGGTTCTCTCATGATGGACTTGATCCTTGGCTAGACAAATTGTGCTCAAACTGTCACAATACACCGTAGTCTGATCATGATGCAGACCAAGATCACTAACCAGCCCTTTCAGCCAAATCCCTTCTTTTGCAGCCTCTGTCAAGGCCATGTACTCCGCTTCCGTAGTAGACAAAGTCACTGTAGGTTGCAAAGCTGTCTTCCAACTGACGACAGATCCTCCAAGGGTAAACACATAGCCAGTCATCGATCTTCTTGTGTCAACATCTCCAGCATAGTCAGAATCAGAATAGCCAGTAACCAAGCACTGAGTATCACCTCCATAAATGAGACCAACGTCAGATGTACCTCTAAGGTACGGGAAAATTCTTTTCACAGCCTGCCAATGTTCTCTCCCTGGTTGTCCCATGAATCTGCTCACTACACTGACTGCATGTGCTAAATCTGGCCTTGTACAGACCATAGCATACATAAAACTTCCTACGGCACTGGCATAAGGGACTCGTGACATATACTCTTTCTCTTCTTCTGACTATGGAGCGAACATGGCAGTGAGATGGATATTGATAGCACTGGGGGTATCAATAGGCTTAGATGAAGACATGCCAAACCTCGCCAAGACCTTCTGAATGTAGCTTCTCTGTGATAAGAAAAGTTTCCTTCTCTCTCTGTCTCTAATGATCTCCATCTCTAGAATCTTCCGAGCGGCTCCCAGATCCTTTATCTCAAACTCAGCACTAAGTAAATCCTTCAGCTTCTGAATGTCATACTTCTTTTTTGCAGCTATCAACATATCATCTACATAAAGCACCAGATAGATGAATGAATCATCCTTGAGCCTATTGTAGTAGACACAATCCGAGTATAGCCCAACTTCACCATATAGCTGTCAAACCTTTTGTACCACTGCCTTGGAGACTACTTAAGTCCATATAAGGACTTCTTCAACTTGCAGACGTGATTTTCCTTTCCTGGAACTTGGAAACCATCAGGCTGAGTCATGTATATCTCTTCCTCCAACTCTCCATGTAGAAGCGTTGTCTTCACATCAAGTTGTTCAAGCTCCACATTCTGATGTGTAACTATCACAAGTAACACTCGGATGGAAGTATGTCTGACCACTAGTGAGAAGATCTCATTGTAGTCCACTCCCTCTCTTTGGTTGAAACCTCTGGCAACAACCCTGGCTTTATACTTGACTCCTTCTGCTAGTGATATCCCTTCCTTCTTCTAGAAAACCCATTTACAAGTAATAATATTTCACCCCGAAGGCTGTATGACCAGATCCCATGTTTGATTCTTGTGTAGGGACTCCATCTCATCTCCCGTAGCAGCAAACCATTTTTCAGAATCAGGACTTAAAATGGCCTCTTTGTAAGTAGAGGGCTCAGATGTATCTACCTCTTCAGCAACCTGCAGTGCATAACCCACCATGTCCTCAAAACCATACTTCGTAGGTGGCCAAACTCCAACCCTCCTTGGCGGAACTTGAGCTATACTCTGATGGATATCTGATGGCATAGATTCTGGGATATCAGTTTATGTCTGTGGCTCTTAATCCTCCTCTTCAGGTTATTTTAAATCGCTCTTGTTCTGAATGACTTGAAACTCCACCTGTTTATCAAGACTCCCAGTTTCTGACGTAGTTGTAGGCTTCACAATGATTCTAACAGAGAACTTTCATCAAAGACAACGTTCCTGCTCATAATAACCCTCTTTTCTGCTGGAGACCAGATTCTGAAACCTTTCACTCCATCTCCGTAGCCCACAAATACTCCCTTTTTAGCTGTAGGTTCTAACTTACCTTCACTGGCGTGGTAGTAATCCGTACAACCAAAAGCTTTCAGATTTGAATAATCAGCAGCTTTTCCTGACCACATCTCCATAGGTGTCTTGCACTGTATGCATGTATGTGGTCAGCGGTTAATCAAGTAGCAAGTTGTACTAACCGCTTCTGCCCAGAATCTTCTATCTAGCCCAGCAGTAGAGAGCATGCACCTTGCTCTCTCCAGAAGTGTTTGATTCATCTGCTCAGCTACACCGTTCTGCTGTGGTATATTTCTGACTGTACGATGTCGAGCAATCCCTTTATCCTTACAGAATTGATCAAATTCAGACCAGCAGAATTCCAGCCCATTATCAGTTCGCAACCTCTTGATCTTCTTTCCTGTTTGATTTTCCATCAAAATTTTCCACTCCTTGAACTTCTGGAAAGCTTCACTTTTATGCTTCATCATGTACACCCAAGTCATCCTTGAGTAGTCATCAATAATGGACACCAAAAATCTGCAGCCTCCCAAAGACTCAACATGGTATGGACCCACGCAATCAGAATGGATATAATCAAGTGTGCCTTTTGTTCTGTGAATGTCCTTTGGAAACTTGTTGCGATGTAGTTTTCCAAAGACACAATGTTCACAAAACTCTAGGCTCTTAACCTTATGACCAGCAAGAAGATCCTCCTATGACAGAATTTGCATCCCTCTTTCACCCATATGACCAAGTCTCATGTGCCATAACTTAGTCATATCCTCCTGGTGAACTTCTGAAGATGCAACATGGGTTGAACCATTAACCGTGGAACCTTGTAGAAAATACAATGTAACACGCATGACACCTTTCAGAATCAGATTTGAACCCTTCCAGACCCGCAAGACTCCATCTTTTCCCGACCAGTTGAATCCCTTGGTGTCCAAAAGACTGAGAGATATCAGATTTTTCGTCATCAATGGAATGTGCCTGACCTCGTTCAATGTGCAGAAGCTACCGTCATGTGTCCTTATATTGCTCAAGCCTGTCCCAACCACCTTGCAGACAGAACTATTGGCCATCGAGATGCTGCCTTCGTCTACCGCTCATAAGTCGTGAACCACTCTCTCCTAGGACAGATGTGACAGGATGCCCCAGAATCGAGAACCCACACATCTGAATGATGAGTGTGCTCATCCGCAACTAGGGCAATGTCTTCTTCAGAATTGGTGTCTTCTTCAGCAACAGCAGCAGAAACTGATTATTTTTCCAATTTCTTCTTCTTCTTCGGACAATCAAATTTCCAATGTCCCTTCTCCTTGCAGTAATTACAAACATCATCTGGCTTTGCACCCTTCTACATCGGCTTCTTTTTCTTTTCGCTGTTTTTCCTTTCCTTTTCACTAATGGTGAACAGACCGGAAGGCTGTATGTCCCTACTTGTGCCGTTAGGCTTATGTCGTAATTCCCTGCTATGAAAGGCCGATCTGACTTCTTCCAGCGACGCAGTATCTTTCCCAACAATGAACGATTGAACAAAATTCTCAAACGACATTGGGAGAGGTACTAACAGAATCAGGGCAGCATCTTCATCCTCGATCTTCACATCGATATTACGCAATTCTAATAACAAAGTATTCAATTGCTCTAAATGTTCCCTCAGTTGTGTACTTTCAGCCATTCGTAAACCGAATAGACGTTGTTTCAGAAGCAGCTTGCTGGTTAGAGATTTTGTCATGTACAAACTCTCCAGCTTCAACCACAGACCAGCAGCAGTCTCTTCATCCAAGACCTCCGTGATGACGTCATCCGCGAGACACAGCATGATTGTCGAGTGCGCCTTTTCCTCCAGAATCGCCATCTCAGGAGTAATGACGGTGTTCTTGTCTTTCGACAAAGGCGCCCAGAAGCATTGATGTTTCAACAACGCCTGCATCTTGATCTTCCATAAACTAAAATTGTTCCTCCTTGTGAATTTTTCGATTTTCACATTCAAAGCAGACATCTCAAATTCTCCAAGAACACCGATTAACCAAGAGGCTCTGATACCAATTTGTTGTGCAGAATTCGAGATAATACGAGAAAATATAAATGCAAAAAACAAGACAACAGATTTACGTGGTTCACCAATAAATTGGCTATGTCCACGGGGAAGAGAGGGAGCAGTTTTATTATAGAGAGAAAAAACAGAATACAGAATAGGGTTTGCCATAGCGTCTATATATAGTTTTAAGCTAAGCCCTAACAGGCTTGGGCCCCACATACAGAATTGACAGATAATTAAGGGCCCAATACAAAAACATTGTATACTGGCGAGACCCCCGTCCTTTCTGTTGTAACGGGTCCGATTCAAGGCATTCAACACACTTCATATTCATGTATTGATTTTAGTTGAGTTTCTTTCGGTCATCCAGTTAGGTTTCGGTCATATTCAGCTTACTCTTGTAGAGAATATTTAATTAGTAAGGCCTCTTTGCTTTCGGCAAACTCCGTTTTCATTTCTGTATTAGTAGTATTTGAGGGATCGTGGATCTTGTCCCGAAATCTATCTTAAATTGTTAATTAGATGTTTCCATTCTTTCTCGAGATAATTTTTTAACTTATGAGTTATGTTAACTATCTAAGACAACAATATAAGACTTTTCAAAATGCTCATTTATTTAAGCTTCACGTGTTATGTAGAGTCATCCGAATCATAATACAGGTCAAGGGTTTGTTTTGGATCAAAATGATTCTCGAATGTCGACCATGTTTAGAGTGTAGGCTTGAGGCATGACAATAATGTAGCTAATAAGTTATAGAGCACAATAGGCAATTCATTAGAATTTCAACATCTAAAAGATTCGGTCATCACAATTTACTATAGATGGTGGAGGCCTAGCAATAACATTCATGAAATTGTCCTCCAAATTTGTCCTATTTATATAGTGTGGAAAATCTGGATATTAAGCACGACATGTAAATATGAAAAGGCAATAAACTTTCGATAAAAATATTCATGTAACTAAAGTGTATATTTTACGAATACAAACATAAAATAACAATCAAACAATGAACAACCATTGCAAAATTTATTAGAGGATTATTTCCATCAATGAATGGTTAGGGTTAAGTGTTAACCAAACGGCCTAAACTCCTGGAATTAGTAGTCATCACGTGATTCTCTATATCCACCATAGTTGTCTTCATCACTTCCTCTACGACGATCACTTGATCGTCTACGTCTACCATAATCTTCTTCATCAGATCCTCCTGAGTCATTACGGGACTTTCTACGTCCACCATATTCTTCTTCGTCAGATCCTCCAGAGTCATTACGCGATTTTCTATGTCCACCACCATATTCTTCTTCATCAGATCCTCTGGAGTCATTACGTGACTTATTTCTACGTCCACTGTATCCTTCTTCATCACCTCCTCTACAAGAACCCGACTGCACGTGACCAAGATTCACTTTCAGATGATCACCTCACTAACAGTAATTATTTCATTTAAGTATCATTCGTCTTGATTCTAATATTCTTTCACAAAAAAAAAAGTGATTGTATGAAATAACAATATTATTAGTTGACTTGATGACAAATCAATTCCTTATATGTGTTGATAGAGTATAATTTTATGCACTAAAAAATTATTTTAACCTATTTTAGTTTATAACTAATTTATTTTGCAAAGAAAAAGAAATCTCACAAATATATGCAATAGTATATATATAGTTACCTTTAGGGGAAATACTCAGCCCTTCTCAATTTATGTTATGGTATTAAAATCTTGAGATCAATCAAATTATTCTTGTATTTCTTTAAAATATTTAAATTATTAATTATTTTTGTAGAAGTTTATATGTAGTTTTGTAAAATATATTTTGCAAAAAAAACTACAAGAGTCTATATACAAATGTAGGTCCAAAAAATAAAAAATTGAAGTATTTTTTTTCTTAACTCCTAGTATAGTCATACTTAGAGCTTACTTTCTCGATTTCAATTTGCTTATTTTACATTTCTTTTTACTCCATATAAGGTCATCTTCTTCTTTTTTTAAATTTGATAACTCTTTAATTACAATATCTACCACAACGCTTAAAAAGTATCTATACTTTATACATATAATTAATTTAAGATTGATCTCAAAGGTTTCATCATCTTTTTAAATTAATGTATAATTTATTAGACTAATACAAATACATTTAAAACGAAAGGAGTAATAATGTTACCTCAGATTTGAAGGTGAGGCTGAGTTTTATCTCTCCAGAATATTCTTCATCTTTTACAACATTGTAAGCTCGTTCAGACACCTCTCCTTCACGCAACACTTCACGTAAGGGAATTCTGTTTTCATTAATAAAAAACACAAAATATAGACCAAAATTATTACCAATAGATAAGATAAATGAAAAAATATATATATTAATACGCCCCCGTTTTTATTTATTTGTCTTATTGTTTTAAAAAAATGCTTAAAACATATAATACATAAAGTTACCTTTTAACTTGATCTCATTTCATATTTATGTCCATCAACTTTATATATGTACAACTAGGTACTTAAACTTGTATGAAATTGACTGTATAGACACACGAGTTCTGCATGCCATAATACATGTAGGCACCACGTAGGATATAAATTGACATGTATGATGTCACGTACAACTTGTGTGTCTATTTGTTCAACGTTATACAAGTTTAAGTATTACAACGATGTAAGTTCAAAATGGAAGGACATAAACGTGAGTTGAAGTCAAGCTAAAGGGAATATTTATGTATTATGTCTTACTTTCTTAAATGTTATGTTAAGTAAAAACAAGATAAACAAACTAAAAAGAACATAGTATTATAATATTAGGGAATTCAATTAATGAGAAAGATTATTAACTTTGCTTCTCCAACAAAATCATCTGAACTAAGAGTATCTTTGTCCATAATCCTGAGGGTGATCTCTTCAACATCACCACTGATGGTGAAAACAAAGGTCTCATTCCACTCAGGATTAGTTCCCTCACCTGTAAAAAGCAACTTAATATTGTGTTATTTAGTCTGAGAAAATTTTCATATAGTGTAAAAATTGCTATGTTATATTCATAAAATGGGATTATTGATATATAACTTGAAAATCTACACAGATAGGTGTTGAGATAAAAAAAAAAGTATACCATATAATATACAATAGAGTGTATAACTAATACAAACATTAGTTAAACATAGTATAAAAAAGTGTATCTAGCATAAAAAAATATATCAAATAAGATATTAATAGTACATACAGTTAATATATGTCCATTATTTTTGCTAATACGCTTTATTAAACAATCCATAAGTACTTTGCTTCTTTTTTTATTGTATTTCTATAGGAGGGTGAAAATAGTGAGTTTAAAATATTATAGAACTCCTTCTATTTTATATTAACTGACTTGCATTGATTTAGATCGAAGTTTAAAAAAATAAAAAAGACTTTTAAATGTTATGATCAAATATTAAAGATCTGTCAAATATATTAAAATGTTCTTTGATCTTGTGGTCTTAAATCTTAAGCATACTATGTAGAAAATTGATATTAAAAACTTGCTACAAAGGAAAATGCTCATTCTTTTTTAAATAGATCAAAAGAAAAGTAGATCAAATAAATTGAAATTCATGAACCGTATATGTTTTCATTTACAAAAAATAAAACTACATTCTGGGGAGCCAACATATATCCTTAGGGGTTCATCCGATCCCCCTTCGACGGAAAATATTACTACTATTTATGCATGATTAAAATTATTTTCTAAGTTTATATATACAGTATATGTCAAACCCCTTTCGACAAATTTGCGTGTTTACTTCTTGAGATTTTAAAATCCCTTATTGAAATTTTAGCTCCGCCACTATAACACGGTTCAATTGAAGTAGAATTAATTAGAAATACCTGATGCAACACTACTTTCCTTCTCTTGAGTCCGACAGGTGAGGATCACATAAGGATTCATACTAGCTGTTCAAATTTGAAAAAAGTCAATTCAATAAACTAATAAATATGGATTAGTAACATTAAAAATAATGAATGAGGGGACATTACTATTGATAAGATGATCTTTATCGTCATATTAATTTTCTTCTCAAATCAAAATCAGATAACGATCTAAACAAAAATTACGCCATTATTTGTCACAAAAAGCTAGATCTATCATCATTATTTTAAATGAGCATTCAATCATCAAGATCAAATTAAAAGCCAAAACACCGTATTATCTTTCGTCATAAACATAATTGAGAAGATCATACTGAGCCAATTTTGGTCTTCAAGGCCTTTGGCATTTACAAGAAAAACTTCAAGCGTCCCACTTGGCATCTTTTTTGGATCAAATACAAACACAATAAGATAGTTGAAAGATGTAGAAATGCTTCAATTCTGATTTGAATGATGGCCTTTGGACCTGTTCAATGAACATTTTATAATTAACGACATCCAACCACTACATTCCACGTGGTCAGTAGTATGTTTGATAACGATATTTTTTGAAAAATATTTTTAAGACGGTTGTAGAAAAAGATCAATGGTAGTGACTATAGAATAATATTGAGTGTAAGGAGCAAAAAACAACAAACACATTAAAGTTGAATTGTATAAGAGAAATTCAAAATAGTATAGCAATTTTACTCAAGTCTCAGGCAACAATGCTTTATAAGAATAGATGAATATATACATAATGGAACCCCCTAATCCTTGCTATATAATCTTTTGGTACTAAAAGATGTAATATGTTATAGCTTCATAGGTTAGGAACGAAATAATAAGGTGTCATGCGGAAGCTAACAAAGTAATTTATTTTCGAAAGATCATGGTGAGTACAAAGACAAACAAGAAATGTATCAAAAGACACAAAGATATAGCGTGGTTAAGTCAAACAACATACACACTATATAAATATGAGAGTACAAAATATAGAGTGAAATGTTAGGTTGTGGAGCCTGATTAATATATATAACTGTTTACGCGGTTTAACCTCCGCGGTGAGGTTGCCAGGGGTTATGGGGGGCGGGAGGCCCCCATCCGAAGGAGGGGTTCGGGGCAATACCCCGACCTAAATTTTAGGCTTTACTATTTATTCTTCATTTATTCTCTGTAACAAAAAATACTCTGATTTATTAATATAAATATACCCCACCGCCGTGAAAGTTTACTCACTGGGTGTTACCACGAAATATTGAGTTTCTCTTTCTTTCTCTACATCTCTCATCTCTTTCTCTTGAAAGTTCTTGTGTTCTTTATTCATCAAGTGTGTGCGCGTGAATTCGATTCTAACATGAAATAACTTCAACCAAATTTACTCATAATACATGGGAGGTTCACACAAGTGATAACTTGTGTCCCAAAATTCCCCTAATCAAAACTCTCAAACATCCTAGGATTACATTGTGAATGTTGATTAAGTTAGAATGAACAAACCTCTATTTATAGAGTCATAAACATTTTCCTAAACCTTATCCTAAAAAGAGTAAGCAATTCTTAATTGTTTCCTAAAAGCAAAACTTAATGGTAGAAAAACTCACGACAATTAATATCCAATAAATCTCTCCCATTGGCCTGAATTTCTGATAAAATAAATTTGCTCCACCTTTTCATATTATCTTCAACAGCTTGCATCTCCTCTTCATAATCTTCTTCATCAAATCTATATCTCAAGGAAAAATAACTTAAATACACAACTATAATTTTTATATTCTTTAATTTTCCCTACTTTTTTGAAATATTACATAATTCCCTTTTTTAAATTTTAGTGTAAGTTTTTAGATACATTACATTTTCTCTCCTATAATACACAATTACCCATTTAATGCCTATTTTTTCTCCATTAAAACACTCAACCTCTTAAATCAGTTTTTGAATTTTAAATTTTATCCATTTAAACACTCAACCTTTTAATCAACTTTTTGATTTTGAATTATTAAATTTAATTAATTTTAAATAAAAGACCAAATTTTGAAATTTTGAATTTCAAAATTCAATAATTTTGAAATTTAAAAAAGTAAAAATTTCAGGAAGCAGGACAACTTCCATTAACTTCTACTGTTTTTTTCTTACTCCATCAAGTTTCAGTTCTTTTTTTTCCATAATCATTTTCATTCTTCTTAACCCAGCATATTTCATTCTTTTCTTCTTTTTATTCTTGAATCCATCATCGTCTATTTCTTCCTAATCTGTAATCTTTTGAACCCAACATCTTTTTATTATTAATCCATCATCAATTCGTATATTCTTCTCTTTTTTTGTTTTTGTTAATTATTTTATTACATCATAATAATGGATCCTTTAATTAATAGAAGGATATATGATTCCGACGATGAAAATTGGAAAGAAAATAGGAAAAAGTCTTTGCATGATCCTATGAATCTTCAGAAGGATTCAAACAAAGACTCTGACGAAACATCAAAATCAAAGGTTGTCAAAATACAACAAAAAAGAAAAAAAAAGAAGCAGCAAACATTGTTGTTAGGCCTACATTGTCTCGGGTTAGTATTTTGGTACTTAAAAATGTTGTTTAAATTAGTAAAAATTTTAAGGAATCAAGTGTGCTTGCTGATACATTTGAATAAGTGTGTATAGTGTTTTAGATGGTGAATTGATACATGAATTTGTTGTGTATCATAATATTTTATATGTATCATGAAGTTTTGAAAATTATTATAATGTATCATTCAATAAGCTTAGTAAATGCGTCATCAACTATGCTTGATGATATATATAGAATCTGTGTGTACAATGTTTAGTCAATGCACTGATACATGTAGTAGATATGTATCACATGTTTTGCATGTAGTATGAATTCCTGAAAACTGATATCATGTATCGGTAAGGTATTAGTTGTTTAGTTGATGTATTGATACATGGTTTGAAAATTATTATAATGTATCATTCACTAAGTTTAATAAATGCTTCATCAGCTATACTTGATGATACATATAGAATCAGTGTGTATGTTGTTTAGTCGATGTTTCTGATACATGTATTAGACATGTATCAAATGTTATAATGTTTTATTTAATTCACTGATGCATGTACGTTGTCGTTTGTCAATGTATTTGCAGGATGAAGTAAAGACCAAATGAGTAATGCCAAGTGGGGAGATGACAATGATTTTTGTTTCCAAGATTCTTTTATTTTATGTAGTTAGGACTTAGGAATAGGAGAGATACAATGACAAGAGGAGCATGAGTGAAAAATAATCATGTTTTTTTTAGTTTTCTTACTTTTTGTTTTTAATGATTATGATCATCCGATGTATACTCAATTGCAAACATGATACTACTAGCAAGTAAAAAAATATATTTATTTATTGAAAACCTCTCTTACCTTACTGTTTTTTGCCAATGATTTACCTGAAAAGTACTAGTGAATTCAACACTTACGAGTTTCTCGATTTTACAAAATTTAAAAGCCACTTAATATATCACGAAATAAATTATATCAAAATTAAGTAAACGGGTACTTCTGTCACTATTTAAAATAACACTAATAATTTACCTCAAATTTTCAATATTCACTTCAATAATCTTCATGTTTGGGCCTTATTTTACTTGATTAGCTAAGTGGATTCTTTGTTTTTGGGAATACTGAAAGATTGTTTGTTGATAAAATAGCACAAGTTTAGATACATACTAAAACTGTAACGACCTGTTAGTTGTTTTGAGCAGTAGAGTTTATTTCTGGTAATTACAGTCTGAGTCGACGGATCCCACGATGGACCGTCATGGGCACGATGGACCGTCGAGGGGGTCTCGTTCCAAAACACTTAGAATTATGAAATTTGGGTACTCAGATCGACTCTCTGAACTTCACGACGAAATGGCAGGACGGACCGTCACAGGCATAACGGGCCGTCACAGACCCTTCAAGGAATTGAGTCTCTGAACTTTGTGACGGAAGCAGCAGGACGGACCGTCACAGGCACGACGGGCCGTCACAGTCTGCGTAACCCTTCCTGGGTCGGATTTCTGTTAAATGTTTTAAGGGGCGTTATGGACTATTCCTGCTTATAATTATAAAGTTAGTGGTTTAATGTTAATAATTTAATTACTTGGGGGTTAAAAGAGAGAACCTTGAAACAAGTAGTAAGGTATTTTATCATCTTTTATACTTAATTATATGCTAATTAGGGTAAAAGACAAAAGGGTTTGCATAAGAAAAAGAGAAAGAACAGAGAGTAAAGAGAGAAACGTTCGAGAGGAGAGGAGAACGCAAGGAAAGCAAAGGTTTGGGAAAGTAGATTGCTTGATCACGAATTCTTTGGTGGAGGTAGGTTATGGTTTATGCTATTCGTAGTAAACTCTTAATAGCGAATGATATGTATTGGGTAGTGTTGTAAACCCTTCTATATGCTTAATTGTATGCTTGCATGAACGTGATTATATAATTGTGATAAAATAAGCATGATGAAGCTATTGAATCCTAAATCTTGAAAACCCCTAATCTACTTTGTTAATGATGATGCCTTGGTATAAAAGAAGGCTTGATGAATGAAAGTAGTGAGATTAGGGGATCGGGTGCCACGTTCCGGTACAAAGATAGTATATGAGGATCAGAGTGTCACGTTCCGACACCAGGATAGTATATGGATCGGGTGTCATGTTCCGGTACCAGGATAGTATATGGATCGGAGTGTCACGTTCCAGCACTAGGATAGTATATGGATCAGAGTGCCACGTTCCGGCACCAGGATAGAATATGGATCGGGTTTCACGTTCCGACACCAGGATAGTATGATGAGGATCAGAGTGTCACGTTCTGACACAAGGATAGTATATGGAGCGGAGTGTCACGTACCGACACGAGAGAAATAAAGATAATGAATCTTGAAAGATGTTAATATACTCAATTTAATGAAACTAATTCCCAAATGAGTATGATGGGGAGGCGTGAGTCCTCATTGATGTGCTTGGTGTTGTGACCAAGGGTTATGGTAATTGTAAATGCCGCATGTTGAGTATTGTAGTTGATTTTATGATATTATCTGATATATACTGTTTTCTATTTTGAGTTGGCCGATGATATCTACTCAGTACCTGTGTTTTGTACTGACCCCTACTTGTATATTTTTCTCTTGTTATTTGTGGAGTGCAGCAAACGTGCCGTCGTCTTCAACTCAACAGCAACTCTAGCCAGTTTTCATCGCGTCAGATTTCAGGGTGAGCTATTGTTCCTAGCTCGGACTGGATTCTCTCTCATTCATGTCTTAATGTCCTTGAAGTTCGGACATGGACTATCTCTTGTATTTGTTTTAGTTTCCTAGACATTCTTAGATTTAGTAATTTGAGGATAGATGTTCTTGTGATGATGACTTTCAGATTTTGGGGATGATAAGTATTGAATTTTAGAAGTTATCAACTGATTTCGTAGTGAGTTTTTTCAAGTCTT